CCGAAACCTTCCTATTATATGTTGTTTACATACAAAAAATGTACTTGTAGACTATGACGTAGACTAGCTAAATTCAAAACATAATTTCCTCAATCGAGTTGTCAAATTCAAAACGACCACTTTGTGAGGACACGACACCCTGACTACCAGGCCACCTCGTTATCCACATCCGCAATCTTCTCTTATTTAATGGCAAAACTTAAAACCCACTTTCATTCACATCAGGTGGGGGTGGGGGGTATGTCCCACCGAAGATTACATCCCACAAAAATACATAAACACAAAAAAGATTACATCCCACATATATACAAAGGGGCATAGTAGAAGAATAAAGACCGCCCTAAAAAGACGCATGTCTGGAGCTGCCTAAGGTAGTTGCCACGTGAAGATAAATGATTCTAGTGGTGCCACACATTCGAAACGGGTATACACGTGCCCGACATGCACCTTCGTCGCCGACTCGAAGAGAACTCCAACCTCGTCAGCAAGCGAAAAAGAAGTCGTGGTTGGGGATCTCCCATGTGAAGATTTGGAGGTTGGAACTAAATAAGCCAAAAAAAATCATATATAGCAATTTCTTCAACAATAGATGGCAAGTCCCGACAAGGACATCGCTAAGAGAACATGGGAAGGATTACATACCGATGGCAAAGGATGAGTCGAAGCACTTGTGCTGGAAATGACAGAGGACCCTTTGAACGATAGATGACCCCCAACTAGAGAACAAACCAACATCGACGAGCTCGAAACAAAGCAACATTTCCCATGAAACTACACAGTGGGCCTCCGCGATGAAGATTGAAGAGGAGGATGACTGCTTGGGGAAGAGACCGACGACTAAGACTACCCCCGCTCCCAGATATCCTTGAAGCACCACTAGTAGGAGACGACTGCAACAACTTAGCAGGCCCAAACCGATCTGTTTGGATCTCCCAATGCCTGAGATGACAACACCATAAGAAGATTGCCAGGTGGAAGGACCAAATACTACAACCAAAACTTGAAACATAAGTAGGGAAAATTATTTGGGACCAAGAGAAGACCACAATATGCCGACGATTCTCCTCGGTCCAAAGAACAAGAAAAGGATTCAACAAAAATATGACATGAAGAATTTTTTGAAGGAAGGGGGGTATACATACCAATATAGAGATAAGACAATGTCGAGGAATAGAAACATGGATCTACAATCTTACTATTATATGGTTTACATACAATGGATTGTACATGCGAACTGTGGTGCAAAATAAAACCAGTTTCAAAAAGACATAACAACTCGACTTTTTGCATAAAAGTGACACTTCACATAGGCGATGGACCCTAATGACATGATGAGGACATGGAGGTCATAGTTACACCCACAGCCCCTACTACTATACCTATTGGATTGATTAGTATAGGTCGCGCACGCCAGTTATATTATCAGGTACTTTCGTTTCTTGGTAATGTTTCTGAAGTTCACGAGAATATGATGCTGCCTAACTTTGATAAATTTTTGTTGCTTACAGTTGAAGGGCCTAGCATGGACAAGAAGGATGAACATTGGAGCATTATCAAGCATGAAGACGAAGGCGCGTGCGAAGAGAACAAGAACAAAGTTTGTAGTGGAGATTTCCGCACTTTGAAGCCACCATGATGACATTCAAGAAGATGGACGAAATATACAAGATGGCCTTTATAAATTTCGTCCATAGCTTATTATTGGTGCTGCGCCACCTTATTTTTGGGCCAGGCCCAGGTAATTTCGAAATACTACTTCATAGGATGTTTTTAGAGTCCATATTGTAGGGGAAACGAACCAGGAGGTATTTTAGTCCCACCTTGCCAAGGGTGGACGAAATCCCTTCTCTTTTCCCCTATAAATATAGCCCTTAAGGCATCGTTTAGACTTGGGCCTTATTTAGTTAAAAGTTAGTCATTGCTACAACTTCGTGTACTTTGTTTGTGTCCAACAGTTGGAGAACATAGCATGCAATTTCAAAAGAATTCCTACGATCACGCAAGATCTATCTAGGAGATGCATAGCAACGAGAGGGGGAGAGTGTGTCCACGTACCATCATAGACCAAAAGCAGAAGCGTTAGGTTAACGCGGTTGATGTAGTCGAATGTCTTCACGATCCAACCGATCTTAGTACCGAACGTACGACAACCTCCGAGTTCAGCACACATTCAGCTCGATGAGGTCCCTCGAACTCTTGATCTAGCAGAGGGTCGAGGGAGAGTTCCATCAGCACGACGGTGTGGTGACGGTGATGGTGATGTGATCCGCGCAGGGCTTCGCCTAAGCACTACGACGCTATGACCGGAGGAGTAAAATGTGGAGGGGGGCACCGCACATGGCTAAGAGAACTATTGGTGTGCCCTTGGGGTGCCCCCGCCCCTGTATATAAAGGAGGGGAGGAGGAGGCGGCCGGCCAGGAGGACGCATGCTATGGGGGGGGGGGGTCCTACTAGGACTCCACTCCTAGTAGGATTTGCCCCTCCCTTTCCTTTCTTTCACCAGAGAGAAAAGGAAGGAGAGGGAGAGGGAGAGGAAAGGGGAGCCGCGCCCCCTCCCCCTTGTCCTATTCGGACTCCCTAGGAGGGGGGCATGCGCCACCCCTCTCCCTCTCCCCCCGGGCTTCCCTCTCTCTCCCTTAGGCCCATGTAGGCCCAACACTTCTCCGGGGGGTTCCGGTAACCCCTCGGTACTCCGGTAAAATACCCGAACCACTCGAAACCATTCCGATGTCAGAATACTACCTTCCAATATATGAATCTTTACCTCTCGACAATTTCGAGACTCCTCGTCATGTACGTGATCTCATCCAGGATTTTGAACAAACTTCGGTCACCAAAATACATAACTCATAATACAAATCGTCATCGAACATTAAGCGTGCGGACCCTATGGGTTCGAGAACTATGTAGACATGACTGAGACACATCTCTGGTCAATAAACAATAGCAGAACCTGTATGCTCATATTGGTTCCTACATATTCTACGAAGATCTTTATCGGTCAAACCGCAATAACAACATACGTTATTCCCTTTGTCATCGGTTTGTTACTTGCCCGAGATTCGATCGTCGGTATCATCATACCTAGTTCAATCTTGTTACCGGCAAGTCTCTTTACTCATTCTGTGATGCACCATCCCGCAACCAACTCATTAGTCACATTGCTTGCAAAGCTTATAGTGATGTGCATTACCGAGAGGGCCCAGAGATACCTCTCCGATACTTAGAGTAACAAATCCTAATCTTTATCTATGCCAACCCAACAAACACCTTCGGAGACACCTGTAGAGCATCTTTATAATAACTCAGTTACGTTCTGACGTTTGATAGCACACAAGGTGTTCCTCCG